TAGAAACTGTTATCAAACACAATGGACAAACACAAATCCCCTAATATTAGAAACTGTTATCAAACACAATGGACAAACACAAAGCCCCTAATATTAGAAACTGTTATCAAACACAATGGACAAACACAAATCCCCTGATATTAGAAACAGTTATCAAACACAATGGACAAACACAAATTCCCTGATATTAGAAACAGTTATCCAAAACAATGGACAAACACCAATCCTCTAAAAATTAGATGTTTTCGTAACAAACAGTTGACAAACACAATTCTCCAAGTAACAACAGTAACATACAAGACCATTTTTCATCCCTAAAGACCTGCAATCAGTTCCAAACATTTCACTAAAAGATAAGACATGAGGGGAGGTAACTCGAAGTTTTGTTTTTGAACTGTTTACTCTCTCGTATCCATGTGTTGTTCCACCACCTACTAACCAACAGAAAGGAGATCAGAAAGTTTTTATTGGCGAATTTCACTTTTACTGGAGTATCGGTTTGATTAACGACTGTTCTTTTATAGACTTACCAAGTCCTGGGAGGTTTCCAATAAAAGGAAGTGAGGATTCTGGTCTTGGAACCAACACCAATTTCAATCCTGCTTCTGTTAGGCTTCAAACACACCCAAGCGTAGAGATTCAACACACTCCACTGTCCAGAAATAGTTCTTTCTTTGGCTCGTGCTCCAGCCTCCCCACTAACAATGTGATGTTACGGAAAGATGGACGAGCAGTAACCTGGCAACAAGAAATGTGAGTGGAAGAAATGTTTATTACATTCTTGAGATTAGAAATTAAAGGTATTCAAGATATGACACTGTGATAAGATTGAATTATTCTTTTGTCTTATTGCTTGGGGGTTTGTTTTTAAGTCATATAAAATTTTAAATTGTTGAAATCTTTGAACTGGATTTGTGAAATATATCGTAGTTATCACGCATACAGAGTATACGTACGTAGCGTGTATGTCAGTATCTATGTATGTAACCAAAACTCCTTCGCCGTCTATTAAATGGCACCACAAACAAAATTCACACTTCGGGTATTCAAGATTCAGACAATTATAAAAATAACTGTGGTATGTGCAACAATCATTTCTTTATCACAGAACACAATTTTAAATACAAGTACTCTCCTCACAACAATAACATGACATTCACTAGGACTGTTCGTGAGGGTTTGATTATATCTTTATTGACGTAATCTTTGAATGTAGTATTGATAAAATGGAGTTCTTAAAAAAACAGTTATTTTCTTCAATAAACGGTACCAATTTTAATATATAAAAACATTACAGTTTATATTAGTAAAATTTATGAAAACTGTGAGTTCTA